GGGAGGGAGGGGGAGACAGAGAGGGGGAAACCTCAGAACTAAGTTACAAAGGAGGGGAGGGGGCTGTACTTATAAAAGAAGGGGGGGCCCTAAGCAGAGCCCCTGCCCGCCCACCGACCGGCTACTTCTTGGCTCTGAGCGACTTCCGCATGGTGGTCTTGGCCTTGGTCCTCTTCGCGGGGGGCTTCTTCCGGTCCTTCCGGTCCCGCTTGGCGCTGGCCGCGGCCACTGCAGCCGGCTTCTTGGGGGGGGCCGGGCTGGTGCTGGAGAGACTCTTGACCGCTGGCCGGGCAGGCACGCCCTTGGCTTTCTTGGCTTTGGGGGGTGGGGGCGGGGGCGGGGGCGGTGGCTTGGCTTTCCCGCGGTGCGCCAAGGGAGCCTTCCGTGGGGTGGGCTTGACCTCTCGTCGCTTCACCAGGGGAGGGGCTCTGTTCCGGGCTTTGGGTGGGGGCCGCTTCGGCATCCTGCCCAGGGGAGCACAAAATCAGCAAAGGGCGGGGCATCCCCCCCTCAGCCTGGACCGGCTCACCCCGTTTCCCGTAATGCCCAGGCCGCCCGTGGCCACGGACCCCTGACCCAGCATCTATGGGGCACCATTCAACTCCCCCTGTACCTCTTCTTTGGAGGAGGCTCCTCTTCCTCCTCTTCCTCCTCCTCCTCCTCCTCATCTGTCTCCTCCTCTTCGTCTTCGTCCTCCTCCTCCTCCTTGTCCTCCTTCTGCTTCTCAGGGAACAGAATGCCGGGGCTGGGGAGGGAGAGCAGGGGGGAGAAGAGAGGTCACCCCAAAGAAGAGCCCATCCTGGCTAGCAGCTAAGCAGGAAAGGGCCACCAGCAGCCCCCCCAGCCAGGCACAAGGGATCTGGCGGCTCAGGGGGGCAAGCGGTGAGGGTACCCCAGGGGCTTCCCCCACTGCTGCCCCAGGGCAAGGCCCCGGCTGCCCATGACTCACCTTGGATAGTAGGGAAAACACAGCTGGAAGGTGCCGCTGAAGCCCTTGCCGGAGATCTGCTCCATCCAGCCGTACTTCTCGCACTTCTGCAGAGTCCTCTTCAGGAGATGAACTGCGGGGGGGGGGGGCAGAGAGAGAGAGCGGTATTCAGGGATTGGACCAGCTTGGCCCCCAATCCGGAAAGGGCCCCCTGAAAGTCCACTCCGGAGGGCCCCGGGGCCGAGTCTCCAAATCTAAGGCTCCAAATGCAAGGCGGAGTTGGGCAAACTGGCGGGCACCCAGAACGGGGCATCGCAGCCACCCCCCCAAGGGAATGGGGAGCTGTGCGCTAAACTCTGCCTTCCTGGGATCTCCCTGGCCCAGAGGAGGAGAGACCCAAAGACCCCCATCCTGGGGGACGGACTGTTGGAGGCTGGCGGATGGTTCCCGGGGGGGGAGAACAACAGCCGAGCGCCTCCCCCCCTCCCCCGCGGTGCTGCATTGGCCCTACCCTGGAGGCTGGAGTTGGTGCCAGGGTGCTTCTCCAGGACGTATTTCTTGAGGGCGGTGGTGGAGCAGGTCTTGGGCTCGTTCATGGCCGCGATGGCGGAGAGGATGGCGTCCTCCATCAGGCTTCCGCCCAGCAGCGGCTTCTCCCCCGACTTCTTCAGCTGGTGCACACGAGGAGAAGGAATGGGCAAGAGCAGACGGAGGGAAAGAGAGAGAGAGGCACCCAGCCCAGCAGCCCCAATTCCCAGGGGAGCCTCCCTTACCCACCTGGAAGGTGCCGGAAGCCCCCTTGCCCGTGATCTGCTCCAGCTGGCCCTTCTCCACTGCCCGCTGCAGGGCGTTCTTCAGCAGCTGGGGCCTAAAGGGGAAGCCACAGAGAAGCCGCTTGGCTGGCTGGTCCGCAAAAGGGTAGGGCAGGGGCTCAGGGGTGCCCCCCCCGACCCTCCTTGCCCACGTTCATGCCCGCTTCCGGCCGCCTTACCGGATGTCGACCTTCAGCTTGGGATAATATTGGGACACGTATTTTTTGATCAGGCTGTAGGAGGCCTCCTTGGGCTCGCAGAGGCGGGTGAAGGCCAGCGGCAGGACGTCCTCCAGCTTCACGTGCTGCTCTGCGCTGGAGGCCGACAAGCTCCTCTGGAGGAGAAAAGGAGGCGCAAGGGCTGAGGCTCCACCTTGGGGCCCCCGGAGGCTGGCAAGCCGTCCAGAGTCCAGGGTGGGGCTCGAGGCCTCTTCCGTCGGGTCAGGTCAGAGGCTGCGCGTGGCCGCAGTGCCCCTCCTCCACCATCCTGCACCTTTAGAGGAAGACTCCCCTGCCGGCTCAGACTCTGGAGGTTCCGGGGCACGGCAAACTCCGCCGGGCTTACCTTCCGATCTCTGGACTTGGAGGCTGCTTTCCCGGAGTTGGGGGCCACCACAAAGCTTCCGGACGCTCCTTTCCCTTTCACCTGTCCCAGAAAAAGTGTGTGGGGAGGGTCAGGCTGGAAGCATAAACTTCCTGCAAATGCTAAGGCTGTCCAACATTCCCCCCCCCCCCAAGTTGATGAAGCAAAGGGGAGAGAGGAAAACATGGGCTTTGCATAGATGCTTATATGACTTGGCTGGGTAGAATATGGAATGGAATGGAATAGAGAACAGAACAGAAAGAATAGAAGAATAGAATAGAGAATAGAATAGAATACGGAAAGAATAGAATAATAGAATAGAGAACAGAATAGCATAGAGAACACAATAGAATAGAGAATAGAATAGGAACAGAATAGAATAGAATAATAGAATAGAACAGAGAACACAATAGAATAGAATAGAATAATAGAATAGAATAGAGAACACAATAGAATAGAGAATAGAATAGGAACAGAATAGAATAATAGAATAGAATAGGAATAGAATAGAGAACAGAATAGAATAGAGAACACAATAGAATATAGAATAGGAATAGAATAGAGAACAGAATAGAATAGAATAGAGAACACAATAGAACAGAATAGAATAATAAAATAGAATAGAGAACACAATAGAATAGAGAATAGAATAGGAACAGAATAGAATAGAATAATAGAATAGAATAGAGAACAGAATAGAATAGAATAGAGAACAGAATAGAATAGAGAATAGAATAGGAACAGAATAGAATAGAATAATAGGAATAGAATAGAGAACAGAATAGAATAGAATAATATAATAGAATAGGGAATAGAATAGAACAGAGGACACAATAGAATAGAAAACAGAGTAGAAATAGAGAAAAGAATAGAACAGAATAGTAGAATAACTTTGTCCCTTTAAATGTACACTAATCAGCATAAATTAATACGAGATTTCATTGCAATGCCAAGGCAGGAGCTGCTGGGGCGGGGAGGGGGGCAAGGCACAGTCCTACCCCAAACGCCAGAGGGACTTTCCGAATTGCCCCCAGCTATAAAGGCCAGCAGCCTTCCAGGGCAGGCCGGGTCTCCAGCTTACCTGCCGTATGACCCCCCGCTCGAGTTCCCTCTTCAAGGCCTGCTTCAGGAGGTACCCCCTCCGCTCCAGGTCCAGCGAGGGGTACCTGCTGATGATGAACTTTCGGATGGCGACCACCGAGGCCCCGCCTTTCTGATAGCACGCCTGGGAGGGCGAGAAGGACGGGTGGGCAGTGGCATCGGTCTTGGCCGCCAAACGGTCAAGAGGTCTCCACCCCCCCCGCCGCCAATCCTCCCTCCCCTCACCTTGATGGCTTCGATCAAAATGGCGTCCATCTTGGGCCGAGAGGAAGCGGCCATCTGCGTCTGCTTCTGCGCTCGGGCTAGCTGGCTGGCCGAAAGAGTCGCCCAGGCGGGAATGGTCTTTTTCACCTTCTTCTCCTTCTCCTTCTCCTTCGCCGGATCCTTCTCCCTGCGCGGACGAGGAAAGAGGTGAGTGGCCCGGAGGCAGGCCAAGGCAGAGGAACGAGCGGACGGCTTGCCTTTCTCGAAGACCCGTCCCCACGGTACACCCACCCCCCTCCTGTCCGAGGGCCACGACTAGGCCAGCAAAGCTAGGCTGGCACGTGCCCCAGTTGTTGCTCAGCCAATAGGCAAAGTGTGGGTCAGTCCCCTATCCCAACAGGAAGAAATGAGGCGCCCCCCCCAGTGGACTGAGGCAGCAGCCCATGGCCAAGGGGGTCCTGAACCTCTGAGCCCCCATGCCAGCCAGCTGGATAACAGGGGGGGTGGGCTGCATTATAGGGGCAGCCAGCACATGGAGGACACTGGGTCTTTTCTAGCAAGGGCCGTCGCCTTCTTCTCAGCAGCCCACCTCCCTCTTCCCTCCAATCAAGGCCTTCCTGCTCTCTCCCCCCCCCCCACTTCTTACTCCTTCTTGGCTTCCTCGGCAGGCTTCACCTCTGCCTTCTCCTCCTCTGGCTCCTTCGGCTGCTCGGCCTCACCGGCGGGAGCCACGGGTGCCCGATTCTCCTGCTCCTCCACGGTGGAGGCGGATTCTTCTGAGCTGACATCCGGCTCTGAAGGGGGAAAGGGGGAAAGAGGGCGAGCGGTGGCAGAGGACCAGAAGCTCCCTGCTGAAGACGACGGGCCCTTGGGCTCTGCGGCCAGGTGTAGCCGCTGGGGAAGAGCGAAGGGGCCAAAAGATCCTCTGCAGAGATCCTGCAAAGTCTGGGCTTGGCAACTCCGACCAACGAGATTGGCTGGGGGATGAGAGACCCCCCTCTTGCTGGAGGGCTGCATTCCTCCTCCCCCCTCCGGCTCCCCCTACTTTGCCCTACATCTGCAACTCTACAGCTTCCGTTGTTAAGCCTCAAGAGCCCAGACGGGGGCTGCCTCCTAGCTGGACACAGCGCTGGCAATGCTCCAACCCTGGAGGTTTTTAAGAAGAGACTGGACAGCCATTTGTCAGAAATGGTATAGGGTCTCCTGCCTGAGCAGGGGGTTGGACTAGATGACCTCCGAGGTCCCTTCTGAGTCTATTATACTATTTTTTCCCTCCTTCCCTCCCTCCCTCCTTCCTCCTTCCTTCCTCCCTCCCTCCCTCCCCCAACACTGGAAGTCTTTAAGAAGAGACTGGACAGCCATTTGTCTGAAATGGTATAGGGTTTCCTGCCTGAGCAGGGGGTTGGACTAGATGACCTCCGAGGTCCCTTCCAACTTTATTATTATTATTATTATTATTATTATTATTATTATTATTATTATTATTATTAAGCCTCTAATCAGATGTAACAGCCAAGTCATGCCATAGAAAGGAAGCTTAGAGCTGGAGGAGTGGGGCTCAGCGTAACCATCTTTGGTGGCAGACCTATCCCGGTCTGATCCCTTAGGCAAGTAAAACTCCATTTGAAGTGAAAAGACACTTTTACTAAGAGATGCTGACTGCAGGAGACTGGAGCGGACTCTAAAAATCCCCTAATTTCCCCAAGCCCTCCCTCCACGGTCCCCTCCGGCGCAGCCAATCCAGCACCTCCGCCAGAAACTCCCGAGGTGTTTTGGTTGGCGAAATTCTCTCCGGCCATGTTATCAAAAACTCCCGAGGTGTTTTGGCTGGCGAAACTCCACCCTCCTCCGAGCAAACGGCCTTGAAGATGCCAGCGCGAGGAACCGGATTCCAGACTGCTCTGTTCTTCCTCAACTGTCAATCCTCCCCACCTCTCCCTAATTCCCATGATAAAAGCATACAGCTTTTTATCGCCCATTTGTTCCCCCTCTCCCCCTCCTCGATCAATGGCAGAACAACTGGCAAGGTACCCGAGCTGAAGCTGGTGGATCTGACAGTTTTGGCTCAGGCCAATAAGGGCCTGCTCAATCAACAACGGCCAAGAGAACATAGGCAACGTAATGAAGGTAACTGCGTAGCCTTCATGGGTGGCATAACAATTAATTAATTAAAATGGAGGTATCTTCTGGTATCCTCTTTAAGTGCTACAGACATCCTGAAAGACACTCGCCATTTCCCACCGGAGCCAATGACTCCGCAGGGCCTTAGGAGGCCCAGCTTGGTTATCTCTACCTCCCCATTGCCCCCCGCAGTGGTCAAGGTGAGACAGAGAAGGAAAAAAAACCACCTCTTTTACCTGGTTTGGCCTCCTCACTTTCAGCAGACTTGCTTTTGGGAGGAGTTTCCCGAGAAGAAGCGTTCACCGCCCGGCGGATCGGCATGGCTGTGTCTTCAACTGTCTGGGAAGGGAGCAAAGCATCACGAGAGGCCCGGTAAAGGAGGCCCCCGACCGACTTGAGAACCCCCCCCACTGCCACCTCTCCTGGGAGCGACCTGCCCATCCTAGAAGAGAGGCGACTGTGCTCGGGGTCCAGCTTGCTTTCTGCTTCGCAAGTGTTTTGCTCCAGCTCAGAATGACACAGAGGCGAGGGTGGGGTGGGTGGGTGGGTGGGGTGGGGGAGAGGAGGGAAGCACTGGGGAAGCAGGAAAGGAAGGGGGGAGGGGTCAACACCTGGGGAGGAGGAAGGACGGATGGAGCCCAGCTGAGATATCCTAGAAGCAGGGGGAGAAAGAGCACAGGGGCCCTTGCAAGGGCCAACCCAAGGGCGAGCGTGGAGAGGGGGTCAGCCCCTACCTCACTCAACTTGTCCAGGGGAGCTCCTGTTAAGAGTGGAACTGCCTTACGGTGTGCGGGATCGGCTTCAGACAGCTCAGTCGCCATTTAAATTAATGCCTAGCCTCAACGGGAGGCGAACACTTTGAAGCCCCAGGGCTTAACCTCAAGGGGAAGGAGGTTTTTTTTCCTAACAGAAGTGCAAAAAAGATTCGGTGTGAAGGAGGTTATCGAGAAGAAGGACACACACACACACAAAAAATCTTAAACCAAACTTAGTTCCCTTTCGCATGGCAAGAGTTATAACAATTTAAAAAAAAAAAACACCACAAAACCTCAAAGCAGTCAGAGAGAAGGCAGCCATCGGCAGGATCCCTTTGGCTCTTACTTAACTCAGACACTTAGCTAAGCTGAAACCGCCTCCAAGAACCGGCCGCTTTGCTAGCAAGGTAGGCCATGACGCAAGGGGCGCTCCCAAGATGCAACACAGCAAGCAATGGGGCGGGGGGGACGACACCGAGAACAGGTGCACCTCCCTACAGAGAGGAGCAGTGGGGACTTTACAGGAAGCAGCTAGACGCAGGCAACTACGAAGCCAGAGGGACGCAGGCTTGACCCGAAGCTCAAACGGGAGCAAAGCAAAAAGCAGCCCAAAACCAGAATTGTTGCCCACCAACTGTACCCGCGGCAAGTTTTAAAAATAACCCCAAAGTACTCCACCTAACAGCTGCCACCCATCTCCTCTGCCACCCAGTTGAGACTCCAAAGACGTCCTTTGATAAAACAGCAGGCTGGCTTTGCTTCGAGGGGAGAGTAAAATGGGTAGACCGTCTATTGGCTTAGGTGAAATATGAAAATTATTCTTTCTGGATACAAGGGAGGCAATCTCCCCGCCCCCCTCCTCTAACTGCGCTGAAAGAAGAATGATTATTTAGGATGACAATTCTGGGAAAGAGGGTAGAGGCTGCGTGCCTCTTCCAATTCTTCTCAAAAGCGGAAGAACTGATGTGAGCAGGATGGATTTCTTTAAATACATAAACGAAATGGCCAGGTTTCCAGGATTGGATTCCTTTAAAAAAAAAAAACAAGGGGGGAAAAAAACCGACTGGGAAAAACTCAACGTAATAATCTGTTTGCGCTCCCTTTCAAGGGGGGAGCCCATTTAGTTTACATAATGTAACTTTAAAATTGATATCCGATTTCTCCTTACAATAGCCCCGTTTCTAACGCAAGATGGTATTTCCATCACTTAGCATTTTTTGCGGAGGCCAGGCAGCTAGTAAAAACCGTGTTCCTGCTTCACCGTTTCTGCCCTTCCAAAAATCCTTTGAAGCATCAGCGCAAGACACCCTGAACAGAGCAATGCAATTTAGTCTGACCGCACAAGGCCAAGCTGCAAAGGCTTATTTTTCGACAGCGTGCCAAACTCCCCACCGCCTTCTGCATAATGCAGGCAGAATATTTAGGCCTGGAAAGAAAGAAAGAAGCCATCCCCACGCTTCGTCCCGCCTCAACAAATTCATCTAGACAGGTAGCAACTTCTTTTTCTTTACACATACATACACACACATAACAGCACACAAGTCCCACAACAGCATCTCCTTTCCAAAAAGGACCCTGGGACCACATCATGTGCAGCGCTCAGCTTTGATAAAGCCAAGGGGGATCGATTCTAAAGCTACAGATATGACGCGCCATTCGAATCCGAGTCTCGGAGAAGCCCGAGCGTTATCAGTTTGTTGTATGAAATGGTGAGGTTGTGAGGAAGGTGACGTAAAAATAAATATAAATAGAAGAGCTCTAACTCCTGTCTGGAAGCCCCAGAGAGGCAATTATTTCTGCAAAGATTGCATGGTATCCAGCTCATTACTGGCTGGGCAGCCCAAAGCGAGAAAGCAGGGGGAAGAGTTGAATTGTCACTGTCACACACACACACAAACACACACACAGTCCAAGCGGCATCTACAAGCAGGACACAAACACACACACAAAGTTCAAGCGGCATCTACAAGCAGGACACACACACACACACAAAGTTCAAGTGGCATCTACAAGCAGGACACACACACACACACACACACACACACAAAGTTCAAGCAGCATCTACAAGCAGGACACACATACAAAGTCCAAGCGGCATCTACAAGCAGGACACACACAAATACAGACACACACAGTCCAAGTGGCATCTACAAGCAGGACACACACACACAAAGTCCAAGCGGCATCTACAAGCAGGACACACACACACACACACACACACACACACACACACACAGTCTAAGTGGCATCTACAAGCAGGACACAAACACAAATTCCAAGCGGCATCTACAAGCAGGACACACACACACACAGTCCAAACGGCATCTACAAACAGCAGACACACACACACACACACAGAGTCCAAGTGGCATCTACAAGGACACAGAAACACACATAGTCCAAGCGGCATCTACAAGCAGGACACACACACACACACACACACACACACAGACCGTCCAATTGTCATCTACAACCAGGCATCCAGGCCTTTCCGGGGCTGCTGCTCAAGGCGAGGCCGGAGGGACCCTCCCTCCAGCCTCCAGGCAGAAGCACCGTCGCTTCCCCGAGGCCACCACGGAGAGCGGCCCCCCCACAGCCTCCCTCCCTCCCTCCCCTGCGGGGGGCGATTCTGACCACGGGCCCGGCCCAGCCTGCGATGGGGGGGAGGGGAGCAATTGCTTCCGACGGCGCAACGGGCAAGGCCCCCACCCCCGCCCCGCTCCGCCAAGGGGCCCCGGGGCTCCCCGGCATCGGAGCAAGGCCCGTTTTCCTCGGCTGCCCTCGGGAGGGAGGCCCGGTTCCTGGCGAGGCCCGCCTGAAGGGGGTCGTCGTCGTCGCCGCCAGGGCCGGCCTGGAGGCGGGAAGCCGCCGCCGCCGCCGCCGCCAAGGGAGGGCCCCCCTCGCAGCAGCGGCCAGGCGGGAAGCCGGGGAGGCCCGCGGAGGCCCCGCCCTCTTCGGCCGCTCCCCGAGGCCGCCGCCCGCCCTCCCGCCCGCCCGCCCGCTCGCTCACTCACCGCGCCTTCGGGGCCCCGGCTGAGCTGAGGCGCACAAAACGGGGCAGCAGCAGCAGCAGCGGCGGCGGCGGCAGCGAAGGCTCCCCTCCCCCACACAACCAGGACGGCGGAAGTCCCGGCGGCGACAGGTAGGAAAAGGCGGGCTCGTCGCGACGCAGGACCAATAGCCGCCCACGGGGGGAGCCAAAAGGCGCGCGCTCTCTCTCTCTCTCCCCCTCCCCACAACACACCGCGCAGACGCCAATAGTAGTCTCCCCTTTTCCGCATGCGCGCGGCGTCCTCGCCGATTGGGCAACTCTGCGCACGCGCGCGGCTTCCTCTTTTTTTTTCTTCCCCCCCCCCCTCTCCTCTCCTCAGGCCAACAAAATATTTTCCAGGGAGGGGCGGGGCTAGCGGGAGAGAACGAATTGGTTCGGAAGGAGGGGGGAAGGGCGCGCCCGCGCTGAGCTGGCCCCGCCCATGTATGGGCGGAAGTGGGTGCCCGGAAGGATCTGGTGGGCGTGGCGGGTTATTTCGCGCCTCAATTCTTACACCGTGAACTGCGAAATACAAAAATGAATTGTTTTTTTTTTAAAAAAGCATTATACTCGATATGTATATATTGTATGCTCCGCCTTCCCCGATCCTTGGAAGGGGCTTCCCCAAGACCAGGGGTCTTCAAACGTCGTCCTTTGATGACTTGTGGACTTCAATTCCCAGAATTCCTCAGCCAGGCACCCCTGCTTGAGCAGGGGGTTGGGCTAGATGACCTCCAAAGGTGTCCCTTCCAACTCTGTAGCTCAGGGGTCTTCAAACTTGGCCCTTTGATGACTTGTGGACTTCAACTCCCAGAATTCCTCAGCCAGGCATGCTGGCTGGGGAATTCTGGGAGTTGAAGTCCACAAGTCATCAAAGGGCCGAGTTTGAAGACCCCTGCCCAAGACAGTGGCGCTCTGCTCCCAGGGAGGCTGGCACCTGCTGGGCGATTACCTGAGTAGGAAGCATCACCTGTTCTCTGTTGCACCTGGGCAAGCAGCCCCCCCCACCAGTCCCCACAATCCAATCCCGAGTTGCTTGTCTACACAAACACACACACACGAAAAAAAACCCCACAAGAGCTTGTGAAGAGATTCCTCCAGCGATCCTTCCTTCATCCATGGATGGCACCGTGAAATTCATTTCCGCGATTCCCAATGACCAAAAAATACAGGACACAGAAAAAAGGATGTTAAGCAACGCTTGCCCAGTCAGTGACCACCTACCTCCTCTTTATTCAGGCCTGGGAGTCTAACTCACTCTCTCCCCCTTGCCTGGACAGTGACATTTGCGCCCAGAGCCAGTGGGACGTGGGTCCCCTCCACAGCAGAGGCCTGACCCCCGCGGGGCAAGCGCCTCTGATCACCTGTCCAAAGAGAAGGGTACTTCCTGTGCTTTTAAACTTGCAAGATTGCTCTTTATTTTGTTCTGTATGTTTTGAAAGTGAAAAGAATAGCATGGAGTCAAATTTCGGTTGGTTTTGTTTTGTTTTTAAATATTTGTTCTATCTATTTACAAGCCTTAAAAGTTGTTCTGAAAAGTTATCACTGGGCCTTTTTTTTCCCTCTCCTTCTTCTGCTTCCAGGGCAGGACTGTTTCGAATGTGTTAATTCTCCAGGCAGTCTGGTCCACAACCATTTTCTGATATGCAATTCCTTAAAAGTCCAAGGTTACCCCCTTTTTTTTTTTTTGGCTTCTTTTATCTTAAATTTCGGAAGCAACCCGAGAGGCAGGCAGAAAGGTCTGGGGGTTTTTGTGTTTTTTTTTTTTTGTTTCCTGAACATTCCTCTCCCTCATCTACTCTCTCATTCCTGACTCCCCCTTTAGAAGTTAGGACTCAGCTCCCGTGCTTTTCAAACAAAACTTGAGGTGGATCTGAAAGGGAGGGAAATTTATTTCTCTGCTTTTTTTGTTGTTGTCTATTATACAATTTGTTACAGAAACTGCAAATTTAAAAATTACACTGACATTTGCAGTTCTTAAAATAATAAATTATAGTTCTCGGCTTTTTTTTTTTGTCTAAACAGGTGTTTTTTTTGTTCTTCTTAAAGTATGAGAGAAGTCCTTGTTTAAAAATGAAAAAAAAAAGAAGATTAAAACAGAAAACAGTTTCTATAAATAATAAGATGTATTTTGGTTTTTAGTGCTCCTGCCCCTCAGGTTTGCGCGGACTCGAATTCTCAAGTCCTTTTTTTTGTCCTCCATGATCGCCTTTGCGTGTGTGACTATTTTTGTTCCTCTCCCCCACTCGTGCACACGTGGGGAAAAGGGGGGGTTCTGCGCGAGAATTGGCCTTGCTGCACTGTGATTGGCGAAGACATGAAACTTTTGTTTTTTAAAAAAATACTTAAATTGTTTTTGTTTTCTTTTCTCTCTCTCTTTTTTTTTTTTGTAATTCAGTTTTAATTATCCTCAGACTCTTCTTCGGCTTCTCGTAGCCACGTGAAGAACGCGGTGACGGATTTAAGCGCTACGCCCTTCCCGGTCTGCTCCGCCGGGTCTTTGCTGCTTTCCCATTTGTAGAAGGCGTCCTCCGATATCACCTCCTCATCGTACAGGCAGTCGAAAAACATCCGTAACAAATCTGCGGAGAGTGGGTGGGAAAGGGATGCGTTTGGTGAAGGGGCTGAGGACGGGAAGCGGAACCCTCCATCTCGTACTTCACCCCGGGGTCAGGAGGCCACCCCTCTCTGCCTGCTCCATTTCTAACGGCTGAGCGGAAGGGGCAGTTCAGGTGATCAGACTCTCCAGTCAGGAAACGGGACTTTGAGCAAGAACGGTGAAAGGTCCCAAACAGGGAGAAAGATTGTACAAAGTTTGCCGTCCAGGCAGCTCCAGAGGTCTGCTGAAAGCTAAAGGCCTATCTCGCCACCTCAGCCTGGAACGAAAACTACACTACCCTACCAGCTGTGCCCGCCACTCCTGGCTGTGTGTCTTCCAGGTTTACAGCCATCAACGGACCCCTGGGGTACCTTACGCGCCGCTTTACATAAACCCCAATGAAGCCATTACAATGTAACTAACACGTGCCGGACACTTACTAGGAGGTTGGTCAAGTTTTACTATGGATGCCTGCAGAGCATAAAGTGCTTGTAGTTCCTTCTCTGTGTCCGAGTCTAGGTACTTGAGTAAGATCGGCACTCTCCGCTTGATAACGGCGGTATCCACTCGCAAGCTTGAGCTGTCCACTGGGTGGGAGGAAAGAGGAAGTCACACCCCTTTTGCCGCACAACTTCAAGACAGCGTCTGACTTTGCCGATCGGTCGAGCTAAAGATATGCTTGGAAAACGGAATGGCTGCAGAACCCTGACTGGTCCCCCCTTCGCCCCAACTACCCCAAAGCTGGCTGGGAATCCAAACTGCCCTGGTGGTGGTGAGGATAGGGACCCCTGGCCTAGTGAGCGACCGCTTGTTCTTTCCTCTCCTTCTCTAAAGAAAGCAGCCACAAGACAAGAACCCCGTCTCTCACTGGCCAGCCTTAGTTCCGTTACCCTCGGTGGATCAGATCCAACGTTAATATACAGAAAGGCTCCCTTCGCTATTCCAGTGGAACAAGAGAAGAACAGTTCTAAAGGTTAAGAAACAAAATTAAAACTACATTGACACTGAGAACCGCAGCCAGTCTTACCTGGGCCACACATACTGTCTTTTGTGGGAGCAACTCAAACCCAGGAAACCCCATTTGGGCTTAATAAGGAACAGGCGCCAACGATTCGAATCCCTTAAAAAAACAGGCATGTGAGTGCCCACACACGGCACATCTTCGAATTCTGTTGTGGCCGTTACTCACCTAGGAGAGCCGCTTTGCAAACGGCCGTCATTAAAGCTCTAAGGAATGTAGGTGAACTCATCTGCCTGTCGTCTAGGTTAGCCTGAAATGGAGAGAGCGAGAGCGTTTGCCGGAGGTTAAGAAGCCGGGGCTGGCTTTTTGTTTCTGAAAAAACTTTCCCGGTTTCTACCCAATTAGCTCTAGCCGCGGAAGAACTGTCATTCCCCTCTGCCTTTCACAGTCTCCTCATTTGGCCGGAATTAAGCCAGCATTAAATGCAAAATGTTTAAAAGGGACACGCTGCAGTCGGCTAGGCCCGTATTTCTTCACAGCCAGTTGAATCTCTAGCCGTGCAGCTCAGTTTGCTGGTCCACCTGCACGATCCCACAGCCAAATGTTGTTTGGGTTAAGTAGAGTACTCCCTGGGGGCAGGCAAGCGATGGTCGGCCCCGTTGTTCTGGGGCGATGGAGGCAGGGCGGAGGGGCCCCTATCCCAGGGGTAGTCAACCTTGGCTCTTTTAGGACTCGTGGACTTCAACTCCCAGAATTCCTGAGCCAGCCCTGTTGGCTGAGGAATTCTGGGAGTTGAAGTCCACGAGTCATCAAAGAGCCAAGGTTGCCTACCCTATCCTAAGAGGCGCCCGGGGTGTTCCCGCTGGGTGCAGAGCAAGTCTTATACCTCTACCCAGTCAAAAATCTGCTCGTCGCCGGCTTCTTCGTCAACAATGAGTTTCTCCAGCTGCCTGTTCAGCTCCTCGGCAGAGAGTTCTCTCGGGGAAAGTGCTTCTGAGGAACTGGGACTGTCTGTTACCGTGAAGTCCAACTTCTGCAAGGTCAGAAGAGCGAGAAATTCAGGCCCGGCCATTCTGGAAGCGGAGTCGTAACCAGGGGCTCTTTCTTGGCCAGCGGCCCTCCTGAACTCTGCCGTCATTGGCCACCCGCTCGCTTTTCCATCCAAGTCCCGCTGCCTTCCCCCCTCGATAGGAGACCCAACAGGCCCCTTCACCTGCTCCAGGAGAAAGGTGTGGACGTCGTCCTCTTCAGGTAGAAAATCCTTCCAGCTGAGGCCAGCCTCCCTCCATAAGGCTGCCACTTTCTTATGGCTCTGCAACGTTAAGGACACGGATTGGGCCAGGGTGGCTCGTTCTGCACTGCCAGGGGCTATTTGGGCAGGTGGGCTCCAGCCAGGGACAGCCGAGAGACACCGCGCCCACCTCCCAGGAGCCCCCCCCAAGCCTCCCTCCTTCTGGAATGCCAACGAGGAGCAGCCGAAGCGCGATCCGGCCCCAGGTGTGAATCCCTCCCTCTCCGCTAGGTTCTCTCGGCAACCGGCCTTGGGTGCCCCTCGGCTTCTCCCGTGAGACCAGAGACCTGGTGGGGGGGGGATTTGCACAAGCCCACTAGCCCCCCGGCGTCCTTACCATTTGTTTGCATAGAAGGTGCAATATTTTGGAAAGCAAAACACCGGCTCTTCTCACAGGAAGTAAGGGTTTACTAAATTCTCTGAAACAGAAAAGGGAAACAATCGCCCGTTGACCCCTCTCGGAAGGGCTGCCCCACAGCTCAGGAGGGCAGGTGCCAGTGAATTCTCCTTCTGACGGTATCCCGCCCTTCGGCTGGCCTGGTGTGCAGGAAAAGCCAGCTGGCAACCCAGAGCTGGCCTGGCGGACACACACACACAAACACAGACCCCGGGCCACAGTTCTGCTGCCCAGCCTGCCGAGTTCCGGCTACGGGGGGAGGGGAGGGGGGGATCAGGGAAGGAAGGAGAGGCAGCTTGGCTTACATCAGAAGTTCTCTCATAGAGATGCCTCCTTCTTTTAACATTGGCGTCACCAATTCGGCCAGGTATAGCCAGATGTGGGGGATGTCGATCGCCATGTCGTCGGCCGTCTCCAAGGTGTCCGCAAACCTGAGCCGCAAAGGCAAGCCCTTAAAAACGCCTGTTGGCGGGAGGTGGGATGGCGGCTTCGGCCCTCGGCCGCCTCTGGCTGGCCCCCACGGACAAGCCAAGCCCTCTGGCCTGCTACCCACCCCTTGAAGAAGTCCCGCTTGCTAAGCTTCTCCGCCTGCACCAGCTGATAGAGCAGCTGGCCCATGTGGTCTCTGGTGATCTGGCTCCTCTCCAGAGTGGATTCCACACCCACTTGCACAAACACCGGCAGGATGCCAGGCACATTCAGCTCCTCCACGCACTGCACGGCTTCCTGTGGGGAGACACCAGGAGGGAGGGGGGCTCAGGGAGGGGAGCCCTTCTCTACTGCCTGGATGCCGGCCCCTCCAGGGCTGGCATCCTTCGCGGGTGGAGCACAAGCCCCCTCTGCCCAACCTCCCCCACTGGCCTCGTGCCAGGGCTTGAGGACCTGGCCCTTCCGGAGGACCTGGCGCCGGAAGATTGGGAGCTGGCTTCTTCGCCCAAGCCAGGTGTGCTTTTTAAAAATTTCTTGTTTTCCTGGCTTCGCTGACCGCCTGGGTGTCGGCGGGCCACAGACCTCCATTAAAGAAAGCGAGACGCCCCGCAGCCCCCCACCGCGCTTACCTTGTAGTCATTAATGTGCAGGAATTCATCGATGATCGATTTGCACTTCCGTTCAATTTCTCCGTCCGACAAGGCAGGCTTCTCTTGGGGGTGAGGAACGGGGGCTTCAGACTTGACTGGAGATGGGGAGGGGAGGGGGAAGAAGGTGAGAGGACAGACCCAGTGAGTGAGGAAGGGAAGCATCTCACCCTTTTAATGAAAAGCAACGGTTCTTTTCAAGGCGGTTGGCTTATTTTGCTCCTTAAAAACCAAAGGAAGGTGCCTTAATTCAGAATAATCCCACCCAGGACAGGTGATTATAATCCCACACGGCCCAGCTCCCGCAGGCAGAAGGGCGGTGAAGCTCACCTGCCTCCCTGGCTTTGCTCTTGTCCGCCTCGGTGCTGTTCCGGTCGCTTTCCAGGCCGCCCGTCAGCTGCTTCACGGTCTCCAGCATCTCCCTCCGCTGCTCCTCCTGGGCCTGGTTGTCCAGGAGTTGCTCTTTGCTGCTGCTACTAAGCCGTAAGAAGGCGTTCGGGCGGGAAGCAGCCGAGGGCGGCAGCTTGTCGTTCTTCTCCCGGCCCGTGCTGCCCCGGCTGGAGGGAAGCAAGGCAGGGGAGTGAGCGAACAAACAGCCGGAGGACCCGAGAGAAGAGCTGGCGCTTTCGTCCCGAGGTCAACGCCTGGTGTGACCACATGGCCAGACCCGGGACGACCCGGGCAGCTGCTCAGCTCCACCATCCTGTGGCACTCTTGCCACACATCCACAGGGGGCTGCGGGGGCTTTACCTGGTCAAGGGCCTGCGAGGATCCAGCTCCAGGGTGGTGCCGGAGACGGTTGACGCAGGCGCTTGCAGCGCAGAGAAGCGGTTCAGGCTAGTGGCACTTGGTCGTAAGCAATCTGCAGAGGATGTGGAGAGAAGAGGGCCTGTCCTCAGAACAAAGACACACACACACAAACAACTCACCTGTCCAGCCCTGCGGAGGATTTCCGGCACGGGGCAGCTTCCTACTGCCTGCTCACTGCTGCCCAGGGGGACACAGCCAGCTGTGTGGCCCACGCCATGTGCTCTCAGCCCAGGCCCAGCTCCTTACCGATCTCGCTGGCCTTGGCTCCACCGCTGCTGCCCTTTCCCCAGCTGCCCAACTGGGCTTTAGGCACAAGCTGGATCTTCTCGTCTATACTGGGCTACAGAAGGGCAGAGCGACAGATTGGCAAGCGCCCAGGGGATGGGCGGGTCCCTTGCTCCCCTCCCAGCCCAGTCCAGCCCAGCGGTGCCCCCTTTCACTCCTTTCCCAGGAGTAGGCCAGGAGAGAGAAGAAGAGGCAGGGCTCCCATAGGACCTTGCAAGCCTGCCTTGGACCAGAAGGACGGTTTAAGAGGGAATCCCTCAAATTTCAAACTCGGCCTCATCGGGGACGTGAGGCAGAATCCAATGGTTGTCAGAAAGCTAACCTGGGTGGCCAAAGCGTTGCGACAATGCGGAACGCTTCGCCCATCCAGGTTAGCTTCCTGACAACCATCGGATTCTGCCTCAAGTCCCTCGATAGGCTCTCTGCCTGCAGGCCTACCTTGGTGATTTTAAGGAACTTGGTGGGGTCCAGCACACGGCTATTTTTCGCCCCCTGCACGGTGTTCCAGCCTCCCTCTTCTGCCCTCTGGACACCTGCACAAGTCGAAAAGAGTCTTGTAAAAAAGAAAAAAAAATTCGCCCCATCCGTTGGCCGGTCAGGCAGCTTTCGCTCGGCTCTTTAGGGGCAGCCCTCCACCAATCCACCATGCCTAGAAGCTGGAAGGCTGCTTCCCCCAGGGCTTCTGGGGCCGGCCCAGCTGGGAAAAAGGGCCCTTTCAGACGGGAGTCTTCAAGGCACGCGGGGGAAAGCTAATATTGAATATTCTTGCTTTGACAAAATAGGCAGAACTGTCTGGTACTTTTAGAGTTAATTCAGATGATGCTGGGAGGGGAGAGAAAGAATGTGTAGAGAGTAATTACACAGGGGCTTCAGTACGGAAGTGAACCTTTCCCCCCCCCCCCCCAGGCTGGTTGGAGAACGTGATTTATGACAGCAAAAGAGGGAGAGAAAATGCTAGCAAAATAACTGCTCTGGGGTGGAGATTTATTTCAAATCTTGGTGATGTCAACGCTGCAAATACTGTATATTCTTGCTTTGACAATATGCAGAACTGTCTGGTATTTATATAGTTAAACCAGCAACTGGGAAAGAGGGAGGAGAATAAGGATAGCCCGGGAGAAAGAAACTGGAAGTAAATCACATCTTCCAAGTTGATTGGAAGATGTGAACCATGACCCCAAAATAAGGGAGTGGGAAATGCTTGGAATGTGGACGAGAAGCCAGACCTAAGCATTTCCACCATGCTGTACTGACATCTCTGTAACCTTAATAAATGCTTTTAGGAAAAAATATGCCTGAAAATCCTTTTAAGTGTTTCGTTAATCAGACACATGACAGGTATCCATCCATGCTGTGCCGACACTCTGTTACACAGTAATAAAGGCTTTTTAGGATAAACAATGCCTGGAAGTTCTTTGAAGTGTTTCATTAGTGGGGAACCTTGACATCATGCCAAGATTTGAAATCTCCACCCCAGAGCAGTTATTTTGCTAGCATTTTCCCTCCCTCTTTTGCTGTCATAAATCACGTTCTCCAACCAGCCTGGGGGGGGGGGGGGGGGAAGGTTCACTTCCGTTCTGAAGCCCCTGTGTAATTACTCTCCACACATTCTTTCTCTCCCCTCCCAGCATCATCTGAATAAACTCTAAAAGTACCAGACAGTTCTGCGTATTTTGTCCAAGCAAGAATATTCAATACTAGCAGCGTTGACATCAGGCATGGCGGCCCACGCCGAGCCTCCTTACCCGGCCGCCTCTTCTCTTTGGTCATCAGCTGTTGGACTTTCCGCTGCTCTTCCTGCTCCTCTATTTTAGCTTCCTTGTGAATCTGCTCGATGGTTTTTGGGCCTTGATCTGCCCTCCGGGACACCCAGTTGCACTAGAGAAGGAAGGCAAGAAGCAGAGGCAACTGAGAGGCGTCTCGTCTCTCTCCGGCACGGGCGCAGGAGGGGGAGCACGCCCTGGAAAGCTCATCCCTGGGAACAGCCAGGCTCAGGAGAGCCAGAGGGCAGAAACTCCTCTGCCTCCGGGCTTGGAGCCACACTGCCCACCCAGCTCCCCAAAGGAGGAGAAGGGAAGAATCTGGAGCCATCTGCGACCTCTTACCTCAGCAGACACATACCTGCCGAAGGTCAATGACATCCTGCAGCATGAACCGAATTCTGGAAGAGGTTTTCCTTTCCTTCACAATTTTCTCCATTTGATTGAAATACTGGTCCATTCGAGGCTGGAGAGAACGGAAGGGCTGACATCGGATGCCACCCTCCTTTCTTCCCTCCCCCGGCCCCCCACTACACCTACATGTTGCAGGGTGGGGTGGGGTGGGACCTCCGGCATCCCGAGGCCTTCCTACCTTGGCCTTCTCAAAGTCCAGGTCTTTGCCGATGGTGTTCAGCAAGCGACAGAGGCACTCCAGGGATTCCTCGTCGTGGTTCTTCAGCAGCTTCACCACGCAGTCGTGCATGATGGCCTCCGTCAACATCTTCAGCTTGAAAAGCTCCCCGATGAACTTGATGTTGCCGATGGACCGCCGCCGGGCCTTGTCCTTGGCCTCCTCCAGTTCGTCGTGAAGCCGAGTCTTCTCCTCTGGCTGGGAGAGCGCAAGGAAAGAGGTCTGAGGAACGGAGCCACTGGCCGGCCGAGCGCAGAGCGTGGCCGAGCCGTTCTCCGCTCCCAACTGCCCTTTCCTAGACCGGCTGCCCTCCCCCTCGGGGCAAAGGCCACCGAAGCCACCCAAGGGACGGGAGGCCCCCGCTGCGCTCACGGTGGTGGCCGCCTCCAGCTCTTTCTGCTTCTTCTCAAAGACATCGTCGTCGGCCTTGTCCTTTTCAAATTCTTTCTGGCAACGGTTCAGCAACAACTTGCGGAAGTTGACCGTGCTGCCGGGCTTGTCGGCCATGGGCACCTTCAGCTGCGGAAGGTAAAGAGCAAAAGGACGTTCAACTGAGGATGCCTGCCTGCAGCTGCAGCCAGGGTTTGCCCTCTCTGCCTGACGGACAGCGCCCACCTTGGAATTCTGAAGTTGGATCTGAGCCCGGATATCCCCCGCCCCCTTTGCCCAGCCTTACCATGACCAGGCCCCTGCACATGTTGGCGTAGGCCACGGAGAAGCTGGGCTCGTCAATGGCCTTCTCGAACACCAGGTCGATGACCCCCTTCAGCCTCTCTTCCGTGTCCACCGTCAGGTCGGTCACTTGCTTCATGAGCTGACTGAACATCTGTGGGGTCAGCTTGTTCAAGATGCTGCGGACTTTGCGGAAGAGCTCCTGAAGGGAAGGAGAGGAAGAGCCTCCACGAACTGTTCCTGAAGACCGGCCAAGACAGGACTCCCCGGGAGCCCCATTTAAACCAACCCCTCTACCAGCTGATGGCTGGGCTGGCAGGGGAAGGAAAAACCAGCCACGGGGCAGCGACAACCGGATCTGCAGCCACGTGAGCCCCTCCAGCTCCACTTTTGCTCCAGGAGCCCTTCCCCCCCTCGCAGCAAGGCGGAAGAAAGCAAACCTGCCCGTACAAAAATGCTGGTGGCAGCCTGGCACTGGATTCCTATCCTAATGTGCGCCAGCCAGTGGTGGGATTCAAATACCCAAACAACAGGTTCTTTGCGTGGATGCAAGCTTGGACCTCCGAGGTCTAGAACGGACTTCCGGAAGTGACATCCACACACTTCCTGTGGGCCGTTCTAGGCCAGGGAGGCCTCCTCTAGACCTCCGAGGCCTAGAACGGACTTTCGGAAGTGACATCCATGCACTTCCTGTGGGCCGTTCTAGGCCAGGGAGGCCTCCTCTAGACCTCCGAGGCCTAGAACGGACTTTCGAAGTGACATCCAAGCACTTCCTGTGGGCCATTCTAGGCCAGGGAGGCCGCCTCCAGGCCTAGAACAGACTTCCGGAAGTGACATCCACGCACTTCCGGTGAGCCATTCTAGGCCTGGGAGGCCTCCTTTAGACCTCCGAGGCCTAGAACGGACTTCCGGAAGTGACATCCACGCACTTCCGGTGAGCCGTTCTAGGCCTGGGAGGCCTCCTTCAGACCTCTGAGGCCTAGAACAGACTTCCGGAAGCAGCGTGGGTTCAGCCGGTTCTCCAAACTCAACAAAATTTAGCTACCGTTTCTTCCAAATCGGCTGAATCCCGCCACTGGCGGTAACCCAACTGCAGGGCCGGCTCTTCATCGTCTCTCTGCGCCCCCCCCCTTCCCCACCTGGGTTTTGATGCTCTCGGGATCCTCCACATGGCTCTCTCTCTTCAGGCTTGGCTTCCAGGCGTTCTCGGCTTTCTTCAGGTGGACATCCTCTTTGATGCACACCGTGATGATCTTCCTGGGCTCCCTCCTCTGGCTCGGCTGAGATCTCCGCGGACCAACGTTCAGCAGCTGGGAGAAAAACGAGCCGTCCGGCTATCACATCTGGCTTCGCACAAAGGGAAGAAAACAACCTGCACCCACCGGTCACAAACAAACGCCCTCTGGTGGTGCCCTCTGAATGAGTTCACTTCTTTTCTTTTTTTATGTTCCTGACTACGAACTGTCGCCGAAAGGATTTTGGTCCAGAAAGATGGAATGTTGTGGGAACGAGGATGAAATCTCGTCAACAGCAGCATCCCGATCAAACCAGCACCCGGAAGGTCTGCTGGGGATCGGGAACGGAAGACGGACAGCGCCTGGCACACAGAAATGCCACAACTGGGTATTACAGATTGTGATACTAAAGAAACTAACTTGATGTTGAATTTGATAACAGCTGCAAGGCTATTAGTAGGGCAATATTGGAAGAAGGATTGCTTGCCTACTATAGAAGAATGGACGCTTAAAGTGTCAAATTTAGCAGAAATGGCTAAGATTTCTGCCTATTTGAAGGATCACTCACAAGAAAGATACATTTCGGTT